TTTTAGTGCGGGGACACCAAACACTCTTCACTGCATTCAAGACTTGTGTCCTCATTGCCTGTGGGGTTTTGTTGTTTTAAGCTCAATGATTACTCATGTGAAGCAGGGAAGGGGGAGTTTAAAATTAGAGTTTACAGTGGAAGAAGTAAGAGCTGTTTTATCTTATGATAGGGATTAACCAAAGGAAACATTGCCCGTTGGATGAGCATGGCAGCCAAAGCTGAGAGGCCTTTGCCGTTCTGGCCACGATGTATGGCGTAGGTCACTCCACTCTCTATTTTACAAAAGAAAAGTTGAAGTACGACAAAAAGATATATTTTTCATTTGAGATGGAAAAAACAAAGTCCTGATATAAATGCATAGTATTGCCTCATATATTGTGCTGCTTCTTGCATAATAGAATTTTTTGGCAGCTTATTCATAGCCATGTAGCATGCCAACTCCATTTTCCATGAAATTTTATGTAAGGATGGCTGGGTACAAAAACAGTAGAACAAGAAAAAAGCTGCAGAAATACAGAGCTGACAATTTAATAATTTTGTACAGCTCTAAAATTGTGTGGTATTAATTCACATAACAGATCAAATGTAGCTCAGTGTGCACATGTTTTGCACATCATAGCTTTATATACTGAAATAATTGCAAATAGAAATTAATTCACTTTATGAATTTATCTCAGTGTACAATGTAAAAAAGTTAATTTCAATTCTAAGTGTGTATTCATATAAAAGCAGAGAATGTGATTTTATCCAGATTTTTTAAAATTACCTAACAATAAAAATAAACACAGCTGTGTATCTAGATTCCGATTTTAATGTTTGGTGGACGTGTACTGTTGCTGCTAATTTCAGAAAAAAACCCTTCATTTTGTAATTTTACTAAATTCCCACTCCCTCAGGCATATCAAAGCAGCTGTCCCCTTCTAGGACAAAATAGAGCGCAAGGCTGAATCATGGAATCATAGAATGGAGGTTCAATATTGATCACAGGTTTCAAAATTTGTTCACTCAAGATAGCATAAGGCTATACAAACATTATATATTTCTTCAGGTGAAATTTCATCTCACTTTTCTAGTCCATTTCAGTCAAATTGAGCTACATCCTATTTATCTACCAAAAACTCAGCAAAATTAAATAGACCAGCCAGATCTTTCCCTTTCGTTACTCCAGCATTTCACCTTTAGAAGGGGAGCAAGTACATCAGAGGCTCTATCAGATAAAATCACTGGGTGCTACCGCAGCAGAAGCAAATTTTTCATGAAAATGCTACTTGGGGGATATATCTTGGCAAGCAACAGCTCCCTGATGGAAATAGCATTTGGCATCAAAAGTTCTTTCACAGAAGGCCTAGGTACATGGTTTCTCAGCTGTCGTTTTCAAAGGACCTTTCCTTTTGCTGGCTGTGCAGGTGCTGAGCTGAGATTACAGCCTGCTGTGTAAAAACCTGCTCCTTTTGCTCGTACCTCCTCGTAAACAGCCTGCAGAGCCATTGTGGGCAGGGGCTGGCGTTTTACCACCTGCTGGATCAGCAGATAACTCCGGGTCTTTGTTGTCTTGAGTCTGCAGCATAATCAAGTAATAGCAGTTTCAGCTCTAACACAGTTCTTTCGGACAGTGGATTCAGCTGGTGTGATAAATAGCAGTCTCCTACTGGTGAAAATAAACTTAACAATTTTTTATTAATATGAATCCTTTCAATTTAGGGATTTGTTTTCAGTTGGACAGAAGGCAACAAATGCTGTACAAAACTGCTTATAAGCATGGAGATTATTTAAGGAGCTTGCAGCTTTCTGGCATTTCATTTTTTTTTTGTGAACTATAATATATAACTAGCAGGAAGGAACTTAAATTGCATTTACGAAATAAATTTGTGGTTTCATCAAACATTAACAGACAAAGCTCCGTTTCTTAGCATATTGAGTTGATATGAGCAAGGCGATACCTGAGTGCCAGACTCTCCTGACAGCCTCTGAACTCAGTATCTTATTCTCCTGTATCTGTTTGGACTTTCTTGGTTTATTTGCTTGGTGTTAGTAGTTTTCTGGATGTGAGAGTTGGAAATTATGATCAATTAAGAGACAAGTAAGCAGGATGTCATAAACAGTAAGTCTAAGAGACATTATCTACCCTGTTCATTTCAGCCCAAGGTAACTCACATCCTGGATGAAGTTGATAGCAATGGATGAAGTTGATAGCAATGTCCTTTTTCACTAAAAATTAAGTGTATATTTTTATACATTCACATAAATATATGCAAGAACATTTCTGAAATGGGAAAGACATCCATTATACCTCCAAACCTGTTAAGTCAAAGCAACATACACAAAGGTAACCGTCTTTCATACAGAAAGTATGAATAGCATGATGTCATTCAGCAAGGTAGACTAAACAATCTGTCTTTTTTAGATAAAAGCTATAAAACCTTTAGAAACATTTACTGTATCAGGTATCTGATGAAAATTACAGTAATAAATCTGAGATGTTTTAGAAACCGTATTCCCAGGACAATTACAGAATGCCCTAGGCATTTGCTGTCTGCCTGCTGTTAGGCAGAACATGTTTGCACCAACTTTCGCAGCATGGAGTGTTTTCTTCTGAGAGCACAGCAGTGAATTGTCTAAACAAAATGAATGACATAAAATCTCAAACAGAGACTTCGGTGTTTCAGTGACAAAGACATAATGCCTAAAGAAGATCTCTGCATTTGTGGTTTTTCTTGGTTTAGCAATCTAGATTCCAGATTGATGTTTAAATGAAGAACCAGTGCAGTAAATGCTTTTTAACAATCAAACAATAAACAAATGTAAAGGCATGTCTCAGGAAATCAGCTGTAGGTTGTTATAACAGTGCACGTAACTTCTGCTTACTACCACAGCTGCCGCATGGCTCCAGCACGGGGAATGGCACTAATAGGATTTGCTGTGCGTTGTCACCGGGCTGAGTTTTTCACAGCAGCCCCTTCACCATCTTCCATGCCTTCTCCCAGTGGAAGAGCCAAACTCATCAAGACGCATTCAGCTTGAGTAGCCCAAGCCAGAACTCTGTTGTAACCACGTCTTGAACTTCAAAAACAGAGTTGCTGCTTTGCCAGTTGGAGTTTTGGGAGGGCAGCCAAGGTACTGCGAGGCAGTTTTGGTGGAGTTACAGCAAGGAAATCAGAATCCAGCCAAAAATGTGTGCTTCTTAATTTGAGGAAAAAGTGATTACCAGGCAAATAGGTGAGATTTTCACAAGTTTCGGTTCAGAGCATTAAGCCTTTTTTTACCTGAGTGGAAGCAAAAACTTAGCATTTAACAAGAGCTCTGGCTTTTTTTCTTTAGCAGAGCTCCCACAAAGTAGATTACGTTTCTTTTCTTGGTACCGTAAGGGACTCCCAAACCCTACTACATTAATTCTCTGCTCAAACAATGTTTTTCAAGTCACACTTTTCCTTCAGGCTTACAGCTTTGTTGTTCCTTTAGATAAATGAATAACACTACCACCTTATTTTCTGATTTTTTTAGTTACATATTGAATTGCTAGGGAAAAATGCAGACATTGATTCAGGAACCTGAATAATTCTGCGGAATATTGGCTCAGGAAGTTCATGCTTTTGACAGTTGATACTAAACAAGCTGTTTTCTCCAAAAGATACAAAATTCTCCAAAGTGAATGAAACTATCATGTATTTTAATTCATGTTGTGACCAGAATTTCCCAACCTCACCCTGCATTTCTACACAAACACTTGTATTATCTAGCCATAAATTGACTTTATTAAATTAAATTAAATAAGAAACTCCATACTCCATGTTACAAACATTTCTCCATAAATTAAGTCATATTGGTAACAGATTCTGAGCCTAAGTCAGTCTGAAGCACTTGAAATAGTAAGATGAACTATTTAAAATGTCTTTTTTTTGTGTTTTAAATTGGTAAAAAAGATTTGCAACCTTTTGTTTTAAAAAAAAAGAAGAAGAGCTCTTAGATATGCCAGTAGTGACCACAGTACCTCACATCAGATTGTGAATGTTTTATGCTGTCCTTTTGGGATATCATTCACAGGACCCATAAGCAAAGAATCCATAAAGGAAAGAGAGTCTTCCAGGCATGAGATATCTGGTTCTTTGCCAGCCTACACAGACTTTATGTTGCCGGCGTTAAACTGGGCCTTTGAGTTTGCCACTTGCTTTAACTGACGGGCTGTCTGGACTGCCATGTGTTCCTGGTTGTGGTAGCTTTAACATTTAATGTTTAGGCTTATTCCCCTCCCTACTCTCTTGAGAGGATTTCCACACAGGTACAACTTCACACTCAACCCTAGTATTTAGGGCTTACAACCTTGGCCCTCTAAGCCTCTAAATATGCATTTCTAATTGGTTTTCTAATGACTGGGACTAATTTACAGTACTACAAGAATTATGATCCTGAATATTCCTCTGCATCACCAAGTTCTACACTTGCAGACATTCAAAACAATCAATTAGAAGATTTCCGAACCACAAGACCATTGATACATCCATTGACTGCTCAGAAACTTCTCAGTCGCTTACTTTATTAAACTAAGTCTGAAGTTTACATAATAGTTTGTAGCTTGGTGTCAGGCTCAATTATCAGAAATCTGTTACTGGAGGAAGTCAGCTGGAGGGATTGTGTTTGTTAGTTATGAAAGTGAGGTCTAGAATAAAACTGGGCGTGTCATCTGAAACACAGATTGTGAATAGTCGCGTTTGTGTATGTCTCAATTTAAGTTATTCTGCAAAGAAGCCCCTTACTGTTTTTAGAAGTAGATAGAAGCTCCTGTTAGGGAAAAAAAGAATTCTGATAATTATCTCTCAGATATTAAACTCTAATAAAAACATAAAACTGCTTAAAAGGAGCATCAGTAGTGTCTAAATGAAGTGAGCTAGGAAATAGAGGAATCAAGATAGTTCATTCTTAATCTATTCCATTTGCATATGGATTACAGCATCCTAGTACTTTTGCCCCTACATCTGACACTTCAATCTGAATAAAACATACCTGCTCTGCAGAATGGTCTAGGGCCATCGTATCATCAGGCCTTCAGGAGGCATGGAGCCAGTTATATTCATACTGATCTTAAGAGTTACTTTTTTTTTCTTTTCTGCTCAGAAGATGCAAATCAAGAATATCTAGTAACCTGAAATGTCATGGAAAATGGGTCTCTGCTGTGAACCTGTATACTCAAAACCAGCAGATAAATAGACTAATGCTTTTGCTTTCCTGCACTCATAATTATTTAAACTTATCTTGGACTCTGCACAAACTGAATACTCGAAGTCAGCACTGACTGGGAAAGCAGAGAAGCGTGAGGCTAGAGGATTGAAGCTGGCACTCCTCTCTGGCTGCGTGTGGTATTTGTCACAGACATTGCTGACTTCTTCTGCACCCCAGAAAATTATTAAATGCCAGCATGTTATGCTGAGTGACGGATACAAATGCCTTCTAACCACTATAGACAGACCTTCTCCCCCAATTGTATTTGCTATAAAGATGCAAAACCTTCTGTCGTTATGCCAGTCCCTCTGACTGCCCACCTTTTCATGTC